TGGTATCCTCCATGGCCTTTAGTCATAGAGCTTTGTGGTGTACATTTGCTTCACATTTCTCATGCTCATGTCTTTATTTCTAGCACAGCTGTCTTAGCCATAGTTTGGTTGTTCATCTTGAGTCCCTGTGGGTACTACATTCTTAATTGCTCTCCTTGCTGCTGTTTAAGCTTGCCCTCCTCAGTTCCTTTCACTACTGGAAAAACAACTGGTTCTCTCTTGCCTTAAGTATTTCAAACACAGATGTGTACAGAATAGGATGACAAAGAGCCATGCACTCACCTCCAGGAGTCACCCAAAGTTAATAGACTGTCATTGCTTCAGATGTTCTTAGGATTGAGGAAAGGGAGGGAATGTCACTTAGAAAATATGAACTTCTGTAGTTATTTGCCCCCTTCCCTTCTCCCAGATAAATATAAAATTGCTTTCCACACAGAAGAATTTAAAAACCTGCTATTGAGTTAACAGCTTAAATCTAAAAGTTACTCTTTCTGTACTGACTGACTTCTATTTTTAGCTATAGTGAAGAGATTATATCTAAGTGGAAGGTACACTTTGAGTGTTTTGTTTTCGGCAGGGAGATGAGGTGTCAGGGTCTCACTCCGTAGGTCAAGGTGGGTGGAACTCTGACTCCTCCTGTCTCCTCCTCCCCAGTGCTGAGATGATAGGTGAGTACTGCTGAGCCACACACGTGTTTACTGTTAAAAAGACATGCGTGCCAAGCGTGCTTTCTATACATAGGTTCCTATCCTTGAGTAAATTCATCTTCCCATTACTATTTACATTTCAATTTCCATCTAATTCAGTGTCCTTTGGGGGTAGGGTTGTTGTGAGATCCCTTCAAAGAGTTATTGTATACAAGAAAGTACAACAATAACATCTTAGAAGGTGTTTAAATACACACATTAAATTCAAAACCGCTGGTTAACCTACAAAGCCTGTTTCTTTCCATGGATTTAACTAACCTTACTTCGGAGGTGCACAGTTTACACTGACCCTTACTGTCTGACATGTTTTTAAGTAGTCTTAGTCTGGTCAGATTTTAAAAAATCATTTATTTTAGTTTTTAGACTTATATGTAAATGGGTGTTTCAGTTGAAAAAGGGCATTGGATTCCCTGGAGTTGGAGCTCTGGGTGGTTTTGAGCCACCTGATTTAGGTTCTGGAAGAACAGTAACTGCTCTTAACCTGCAAGCCATCTCTAGAGTTCAAAAAAAAAAAAAAAAAGTTTTATTCATCCAGAAGGACCTTACAGTTTTAATAATGCCTCAAGAATGTGTCTTCTCTTTATAGTCACTTGATATTTCTCTTTTATTTGTAGTGATTTTCCAGTGACCAAATCCCCCTCACTCCAAACCATGAAGACTTAGAGTAAAAGGAAAGAACTATGACATGGTAGTTTAGTTTCTCCATAGTGTATAATGTATCTTACATTTCTGTGTACTTAAACACAGACTGAGATTTTAGGAGTTTGCAGTGCATCCATAATTTGAGTTTTGAACCAGAAAGCCACAGTTCCATTGTCCTGGTTAAGGTTTCTATTGCTTTGATGAAACACCATGACCAAAAAGCAAGTTGGGGAGGAAAGGGTTTATTTGGTTTACACTTCCATCCCCTAAGAGAGTCCCAGCCACTCAGGCCTCAGCCTGGCGGGCATTCTGTTCCCATAGGCACCAGCTCTGTTGCTGCAGCTAAAGGTAGCTTTAGCTAAATCTCTATCGTTCTTTTTATAAATAAGACTTGAGATTCAAAGGCTGGGGTGAAAATCTGCTAGCTCAGAGCAGTTGAGTAGCAAATAGTTAACCTTCTCTCCTTGCTGACATCTTCCAAAAGACCTGTCCTTCTGCTCCACCAAAACAAAAACAGTTGCGTCACTCAAAATCCCTCCCTACTCCTGGTGTGCCTCTCTGTCTCTTTCAGATGCCCTCTGATTACTTTCTATCTACTAGTTGCTAACTCAGCCTTCTGACCCAAGGTTAATTTTCTTTAGTTAATGCAAATGCAAACTGGGGTTTCACAGTGAGATCCAGTATCCCCCAACAATGGTTCCCTTGAAGTAGCTGTAATTTGGGATTCACACAGAGCATATTTTTGTGCTTTCTATTAAAAAACCCCAAATTTGTTAATGAAATTTATTAGATTGCTATTTACTTTTAACTTGTAGAGGCAATGCTTAACATATCTACTAATAAACGTCTTGGTCTGATAGTTTGTTGCCATCTGGGAAGGCTTATAACTGTCATGTCATTTAGTTTTGATTTAGATTTAATTTTGTGAAAGCAGAGATTTGAAAAGCTTTACCTATCAAGTGTGAGTGTGTGTGTGTGTGTGTGTGTGTGTGTGTGTGTGTGTGTGTGTGTGTGTGTGTGTGTATTTGGTTTTTCAAGACAGGGTTTCTTTCTCTGTGTAGCTTTGGAGCCTGTCTCGAACTCTGCCTCCCAAGTGCTGGGATTAAAGGCATGTGCCACCAACAACCAGTTGAGATACACTTTTTTTTTTTTTTTTAAAAATCAATTAATAGAGTTGCAAGTTCTTGTCACACATTCTGTAGCTAGCCCTCTGTTACACATTTATTAATTACCATTGCTAGGGCTGTGGCAGCAATACAGTAGTTTCGAAGTTTGAAGAGTGCCCATGAAGCTGTCCCTTAGTGACAGCCACAATAGTCATTTGTAGTCAGTGTTTCTGTCTACTGCTTTAAACAGTTTGGGGATACGCTCATTACCATGCCTCCTTAACCCAAAGCCATGCACTATTTTTGAAAGTGCTGATTGTTTTATAAGTTGAAGAGGATAACCTTTGGAAAACACGTTACTCTGATCTATCTCCAGCTTAGAAATCATTCTTGTTAGATACTTGTTCAAGTTTGCTTTTTGTTACTACAGTGAACACCATGGCTAAAAGCAACTTGGGGAAGAAAGGGCTTATTCCATATTATTACTTACAGTCAATCAGAGCAGGAACTCAAAACAGGAACCTGGAGGCAGAATCTGAAGCAGAGGCTGGGGAGGAATCTCCTTACTGACTGCTACCCTTCTTATACTACCACAGTATATTGCCACAGTAGCAATCAAGAAAATGCCCTTCAGGCGTGCCCTTTGGTCGGTTGGATGGAGACCTTCATTTGAGGCTCCTTCTTCCCAGGTGACTCAAGCTGACAGTCAAGATTAACCATTGCAGTTAATTAAGTTCCTGATAGAGAGGCTCAAAATTGAATTGCTCTGTTCTAGAAACCTACCCGTGGCAGCTTTGTACCTGGGACTCTTCTGTTGTGTCTTGTGTAGCAGGTTGGAACTGGAGTCAGTCACTCACTTTTGGTTGAGTGTTTTACTAATGTGGCCCCAAAATGAAAATTTTGAAAATATTTTGAGTGCAAGATAGCAGATTTTTAGTTAGAGGAGAAATTAACTCTTAATTTGAAAACCTGAATCTCTTAGTGTGAGATAAATTAGGAAAGAAGCAAAAACGGGAGGCAGAGACAGTAGCGAATGGAATGCATTAATGATCCAGGGAGAAGGAGGTGGAGGATGGGGTTGAGACGAAGGACTATGTAAGGAATCCCCTGTCTGGAGTGAACACCTGCCTAGGAAACGTGGTGTGGCGCAGAGGTGTCTGTTTTCAGTTGGAAAAGATGGTTTAATTAGGAAGCATGCTATAGACATTGACAAGTGCTTGAGAAAATCTAGCTTGTCTGCTCCGTTCTTAGAAAATTGGCTTTTAAAATATCTGGATAGGTTAATTAAATATTTTTATAGAATAGCTTTGGATCTTAGACATGGCATCTCTTTAACAATGAAGGTGGTATTTTGTAGAGGCATTTGACATTAAGGATTCCATGATAGGATGTGCTAAAGGTTTGCTTATAAAGTTTGAAAACTTTTCTCGTGATGACATATTAGACAACATTTTTCATGGATACTAAAAATCTTTTTGTGCTAAAATTGCAGCATATTATTGTGTATTGTATCACAGTATTATGTTTTAAATGAATAACTTTGATTGTTGATGTATGTGAAACTCAGAATGCTTGCTATTCATTATTAGATATTATTTAATTAATTGTTATTATACAGTGTTGTGGTCTGTTTTTTTTTTTCTTGAAACTGTTCTGCCACCGAGTTACAGCCCCTCTAAAACTTACATTAGAATATTTTAATATTCTAAATTATAGCTCTATCTTTATATAGAATAAAATTAGTTTGATAAATTGTTCTCTGTTTTCAGGGACTCTAATATGAAAACAGGAGAGCCAGGAAACCCTACATAGTATCAAGGATGTCCTCTAAATCCTTTACTTTCCCTAAGATTCCCTTCTGTGAATTCTCAGATGATTTCTTTTCAGTAGAGTTTGGCTTTCAGTTTGATCTCCTTGATTAATTTGAGGTCATATTTTAGTATTAAATACTTTTAGTTGGTTTTGAGTCTTAAAAGTTGTTCTTGGTTTCTTACAGTATTGTGGTTGTTAAAATTAAGGAAATTATGAGGGAAGAGTGTGTGTGTGTAATCCAATGTCATGATTGATTAGCCATAAGTGAAAGTCTCTCTCTTTAATGTCATCATTATCTTAGATCATACTGTAAAATTAGGTTTTATACATCTTAACGCTTAGAACTTTTTCCAGTTTTATTTACAGTGATAATATGTTTGTATGTAGAGGATTTTGCACAAACTCAGATGGACAGGGCTCTTTGCTTACTTCCTTTTCTCTTAATTCAAATTTCAGTAACTTATTCTGTGTTTTTGGTACACTGTAGCTAGCTTTGTTTTGATCTCTAAGACAGGCTCTCCCTGAATAGTAAAGGCTGGCCTTGAGCTCTCCATTCTCCTGCCTTCAGAGTACTGGAAATATGTATTTATTTAATTCTGAATAATTAATAATTCCTCGATTGAAGAACAAATGTCCCTTATGTTTGTGTACTGCCTGCCTGGTTTTCACCCAGCACTCCTGTTTGCTTAGAGTGTGGCCCTTGCTACTTTACTGACCCTTTTCTCTGTTTCAGCTAACAGCCAGGTCCTTGCCTGCAGTGCAGTCCGATGAACGGCTCCAGCCTCTGCTCAACCACCTCAGGTAATACAAGGTGAAGCCTTGTCACACTTTTCAGTGTTAAGCCTATTGCATTATTTTTTATTTTCTTGACTTCTGTTGATCAACTTGAATACTTGCTATCTTTGACTCTAGAATGCTGAGCAAGTTCATTTCATTCAACAAAAATGTATAAACTATTTGCTACATTTAAATCAGGCTGAGTGAATGTGACCAACTTAATGGAAAAATATAAAATTAATATGATTTTTACTTCAGCACAAAGCCAAGGTATACTTTTATTTGGAATTGATGAATGGATGAGGTTTATTTCTAAATATAAAAGTAGTATTGCTTCAGTATTTATAAAACAAAATATAGGCAAAGGAAAAAATCTTATTACTATTCATAAACAATGTTTCTTCCTTTTATGCTTTTTTAAAAAACTCAGTATTGAAACAATGGCTTTATTAGACTTACTTTTTCCCATTTATCACAAACATGAGACTTGTCACTTAATTGAAATCATTCTAAAAACATCATTTTTAGTGATTACATTAAAATTTTCTTTTACAGTTATATTATAGTGTATTTATCACTATATTGAAGATACTTAAGCCATCTCTAGATCTTTTGCCTGCAGTAATGTCATTGAAACTAGCCACGTGAAATAGTTAATGACATCCATGTTGGTTAAGCCATTTACAAATATATGAGTCCTATTAGTAGCCAGACTAAGAGTGGGGATCATGTCTCCAAAATGTTTCTTGGAGCCCAAGCTCAGGGTACAGTGTTTTTCAAGACAAACCCCACAGTACATCAGTGCTCAAGGTGGGGTCATATCAGTGAGGGGTTTAGAGTAACCTAGCAGCATCTATTTGCTTGCAAAGCTTTGCCATATTTTCCACACACTTCATGACAATTATGTTTTGATTTATGCTTCGTCTTAGTTATTTTACTTTTATATTTGGGCTTGCTCAAATGTCAGTTATTTTGGTTAATAAGTCTGAACCATGGCCAGGGTCACAGACATTCCTGAAAGTATTGCCAAGGAGTATGTGGCTGTTGAGGGGTGGAGGGCTGAGAAGTGTCCAGGCTTAGTCATTTCACCTTATGCAAACCTTTACTTTTATCTTTGTTTTAGGTTATTTCATTAGAGTCATCTTTTAGAAGCAGAATTCCTCTGTCAAAATGTATGGACCACTTTAAATATTTTAGAATATATGTATTTCTTTTTGAAATGTTACATTCCTATACTGTACATGACTACCCAGGCCAACCTTGAACAAGGCAGATCAGCCATGAAGCTTTTGCAGCATAATTCAGTCAGTTATAAAGATGCCACTGTGTGTGGCCACATGCATCTCAGTTCCCATGAATAATGGTTTTTAGGCCTCTTAATATCCATTTCTGTTTTAGGGTGAGATTAGCAGTCTGTATTCTTTGCTCAATTATGGATAACATCTTCTGACTTTATTTGATCTTGGGTACTTAAAGTATGCAAGATTGTAACTCTGTTATATTTGATCCAAGAAGTTCTCTGTAAATCTTTATTTAGCCTACTTATTAAGACTTGTCATCAACGAGGATAGCATTTTTTCTTTAGGGTTTCTACTTTTCAAGTTTTTAAAGATTTCTTTATTGTATTTTAATTATATGTAATTTTATGAGTATTTTGCATTTCTATATGTATTTGCACCATGTTCTTGCCATGTGTGAGGAGGTCCGAGAGGCTGTCAGATCCCCTGGAACTGGAGTTCCCTGGGTTGTGAGCCTCTGTGTCAGTGCCAGAACCAAATGAACCCTGGCCCTGTGCAAAAGTAGCCGGTGATATTACCCACTGAGCCTTCTCTCTCTTGAGCCTTCCCTTCTCCTTGTCACTCACAAATTTGACATTCTGGTATATTTTGGTTTTCATTCTCTGCTGTCCCCCTTTCCTTTCATTTTCTCCCTCGGGGTCAGTAACTTTCAGTTTTTCATGTAATTGATTCTGGGGAGTAAGGATATGGGGTGTGATTAAGACTAGTGTTCCTGGTGCTCAGAAACATGCATCTTATACACATTTTTTTTTTTTTTTCATATCCTAGAGCTGTGTTAAGAAACCTAGACCTCAGGTTCGAGTATGCTATTAGTCTCCCTTCCTTGACCCTTCTAAATCTTTTGACTGTATCTTCAAAGTATCCCTTTTACTTCACAAGCTTGTGCTCTATGCTCTATAACTCATGCTTTCCCCTCTCTGATACAGTTCACATCACTGCCAGAGGTGATTATAATCTCGTCTTTAGCCCTTCTGTCTATGTGCCTGCCCCCACCACTCTGCCCTATTCCCTTCTGCTTGAAGTCCGAGCTTGGCGCTGCTCTGGATGTTCTGCTGGTAAGAACTGTAACTTGGTGAATGGTTGTTTGTTCTTTAGTTAGGTGTCATGTTCTCTGGTCATGTTCCCTTCTTAGCTGACCCAGATGCCTGCTGAAAGGTAGTTAGTTTCTTTATCCTAGGCTACCTCCATTACAGAATTTGATGCTGTTATTGTCTGCCCACTGCCCAGTAGCCAGAATAATATCCCATACTCATAAGGTACTATGTGTTTTGCAGAGTGAAGTGCAAGTTATGCCATTTATATTTTTATATTTTATAAATTAATTTGCCCTAAAATTTTGCTGGTTCAAAATATAAGTCAAAGAGGTTGATTCTTAGCTCCAGTGAATACTTGATTCTGTGCGATCATGATAGATTCTCCTTCTTCTATCTCAGTATGGTAATTGTCACCTAGAATTTAGATTAACTACTGACATCTCTTTGAGTCCTTGAAACTTGAACAGACTGTACATTCGTTTAGGGCTTTTAGTCTCTGTGGAGTTCCTTCATGACTAGTTGCTAGGCAACCAGGGCTGGAATGTTGCTTTTTATTGTTATTAAACCAAATGGCTTCTCATTTTATTACTGTGTCAGAGACATCTGTAGGTAGGGTGGCAGCTGGTGTGCATAGCTTGGCACTTCCTGTTCTACAAAGTAATCTTACGAAATGTGTGCCTTTCAAGCATATTGGATTGTCTTTTGGCTGTCAAGTAGGATGATTTTCTTTTATCTTCCTTTTTTCAAAGGTCAAAGTGTCAAGAAGTAGACTGAGGATATAGCTCAGTTGGCAAAGTACTTTTATAGTGAACATGAAACCCTGGGGTTGATCCCTCCAGCATGACATCAACAGGTTGTGCTGGAATATGACCTTTAGAGATGGAGTCAGGGTGATCAGAACCCCAGGGTCGTTCTCCACTATATAGTGAGTTGAAGGCAGGTCTAGGATGGGAGACTCAGTTTCAAAAAAAAAAAAAAAAGTATGAGAAAGATGATCACTTGATTTGAGAGATTCTAATGGCAATCTTGTTAGGAAAAATAAATTATCATTGATTTGCATGAACTTTATAATTTAGGTGTGACCTAGAGTAGATAGACTTTAGAAGGTATTATTGATGTCATTATTTGTTCTAGCTTTGGTGCCTCTAATGATCAAAGATGAAAGATGAATAGCATTTGGATAGCATTTTAATTAAATTTGTCAATAAATCTCATTTGGGAGATTATTTGGTTACCTGTAAAAGTTGAAGGAGCAGTATAGAGGAATCGCTAAATTATTTTACAGCATGTAGTCACTCAAAATTGGTGTAACACTTTGCCAACCTGGTAATCTAGACCATGTCATTCATTCATATATATTTATATAGAGAGAAAGAGAGAGAGAGAGAGAGAGAGAGAGAGAGAGAGAGAGAGAGAGAGAGATTGAAGATGTAATATATCCCCATTTTTCATTGAATTCAGTTTTCTTATTAAGTTAAACACAGCAGAGCATTTGCCTCAGTATCTTTTGGAAGTCAGTTTCTTTTTGCTCGATAGTAGCATTTATTGTTTACTGTGCATCAGTACAAGTGAGGCACAGTTTGTTACCCGAGAACTCACAGGTTTGGCTTCATCTGAGAGACTGGCACATTAGTGGGTTACAAAACTTGCTAAGCTTTCTATTGTAACTGGATACCAAGGCACGGAGCTTTATTAATCAACCTGTTTCCTCATGTGATAATTTCCTTAAACGGTGGTACCAAGGCTCACTTGCTTCTTAGTATATCTACTTTCTAGCTCAGTAGTGTCTCAAATTGGCTGCTCAGATTGGAGGACGCCTTAATCCCACTTGTAGAATGTTGTCTTTAACTAGAGAATAGAGGAGAAGGAAACTACGGTTGCTATGTATTGAATTAATAGTTTCAGGCAATTTAGGCTTGAAATCATTGTAAGATGTATGCAAAGAATATATTTATTGAATAGCTAGATACAGACCTACAGGGTGAGAGTGATTTTAATGTGAGTAACATTTGCTGCTCACTCTCTGTAGGTGATTGTTACAGTCAGGGAAGTGGCTGAGCTAACTGAGGAAAAGAGAGTCAAAGAGGAAAGGAAATGACTTGATAGAGTCCACAGCATATTGGTGTTTGACCTCTGGGGCAACTGTGGGAATGGGAGAAGAGAAACCAGTAGAAACAGCAAGCAGAGCGTTGCTGAGTACCTAGAGTACACTGAGAGGATGTTGTTTAAAAGTCAAGGTTCCAATCTGTGAGTCGAGACGCCTCATAAATATCTTGTATATCAGACATATACATTATGATTTATAACAGCACAAATTATAGTTGTGAGTAGCAATGAAATAATTTGATGGTTGGGGGTCACCACAACATGAGAAACTATTAAATTAGTAAGAAATGAGGCTGCGGAGACAGGACATCCACACTCCTCATGCTAGGGCTTCATTCTAAGGGCAGGGAAGGAAGGGTGGGTGCATTCATGGGCTTCTTGGTTGAGAAGAGTTTTTCTGTTAAGATTGCAGAGGTAGAAACATTTACAGGGTAAGGGAAAAAGGACTGTGGGAGTTAGAGGGAGATAACCAGAGGAGGAAGGCTGGAGAGAGTAAGAGGACTCAGATTGGTTGGTATTTGCACAGTACTTTGACACAGTATGCCAGTCCCTGTTCTGAAAAGCCCCTGAGACTAGCAGGTGGGCA